CAGCCTCATTCCCCCGGTAAAGGGGGCTTCCTCCTGACTTCTGATTGCTTCTGTCCCCGGCCAGCTGCTCCGTGACCAAATCGATTCGCTGTTTCGTTGAATTTTCCAGACCACCCTTACTACTAGCTAGACGTCGGCCAAGTCGTCGTAGTCGTCGTCGTCTTTGGGGGCTAGTTCCGGGTAACGAGCATGCCAACGAGGAACGGCTGCGCGATTCCAAACCGGGCTAGCTCTTTGTTCCTTTGAATTATCGTTTCCTTTCCTTTCCTTTCCTGTTTTTCCTTCTCTTCTCTTCTTCTCTTCCTTTCGCTTTGATGCTACCACCGGTAGCATCGTATGCTGCGTCGTTCGGTTTAGATTTTAAATAATCTGCCGAGAATCATCAATGATTTGATGATTACGAATAACTGTAATTACTCGAGTATAATACACTATTTTATGTTCGTTATTTTGAAATTAATTGTTTCCACGTGACGAGTACACTCGTCGAGGAAAGGGTTAAGCAAATATTTTGAATTACAATTTTCGTTCGAGTAGTCGTTCGAAAAGTAGTCGTACGCGTGTTTGTTTATTAAACGAAAGTCGAACGTTGGCACGATAAACGATATTCAGTCTCGCGAGGTACTTCGTGCGTGGCGTTACGCGGGCAATGTTGTGTTCCGTTTTATATACGAATACGTTTCGTTCGTGCCGTTGTACGAATTAAATTGCGTCGCGGAATATCTCGTCCATGGTGTTTTACGAAATTGGTTCGCGTCACGGAATATTTCGTCCATGGTGTCGTGAATATTCCGTCTGTGATTTTGTGCGAGTTATATTGCGAGATATTTTGTATAATTATATATATATATATACCACATCGTACAATGTTCCATTGGCATTCTATGAATTATATCGCACCAATATTTCGTCCATGGTGTCGTGCAAGCTATATCGTGTCGCGGAATATCTCGTCCATGGTGTTTTACGAAATTGATTCGCGTCACGGAATATTTCGTCCATGGTGTCGTGAAATATTTCGTCTGTGATTTTATACGAATTACATTACGAGATATTTTGTATAAATTATAACACGTCGTGCAATTGGCATTCTATGAATTATATCGTACCACGGAATATTTCGTTGTATAAGCTATACAACGGAATATCTCGTCCACGGTGTTTTACGAAATAATTCACGGAATATTTCGTCCATGGTGCCGTAAATAAACTATATCGTGTCGTGGAATATCTCGTCTGTGAATACGAATTACATTGCGTTATATTTCGTCCGTGTTGTCGTATAAATTATAATAAAATACCACATTGGCGTTCAACATGAATTTAAGATATTATAATATTGAATCGCGGAATATCTCGTTGATAATTACGAAAGGGATTTGACTTGAGCAAACGAGGAAAGAAAGAAAGAAAGAAAGAAAGAAGGAAGGAAAGAAGACAAGCGAAGTGGATAAATAACAAATCGAACGAATACAATAAAACGTAAAAATCGTCCTCGGTGTTATACGTTAAACGAATTCGTTGGGTGGCCCGGATGAAGACAGCCGGCGACAGAGAGAGAGAGAGAGAGAGAGGAGAGGTAGAACTAGCAAGTCGGTTACACGAGAACGACATATTGGATTTACATGTACCGCTGGTAGGGCTGGCTCGAATTAATGGCAGGGGCTATTACGACGCCGAATGAATATGCATAAAACTGCACAAAGTGAATTGGTGGTGGCGTTATAGCAAAAGGGTCGAGACAGAGAGAGACAGAGACAGAGAGAGAGAGAGAAAGAGTGAGTAGAAGAGACAGGACGAGGTTTGGTAGGGGAGGCGAGGGGGTGGATGGGCAAGGTGGGTTGCCGGGTAGGCGTGGTTACACGTGACGTCACCGGCTCGTTGTTCTATTTTAGCGAGGACAGTCGGTGGCTGGGATGGGCGAGCGCGGGAGTTGTTGTGTTTTGTGTCCCCGCCATGCTTCATAAATCAACGAAACAAACAGAAACGCCGGCATGCATCGCGGCCAACGCCGGGCCAAACTCGATTCTGATGGCGAATGTATAATTTAATTCCGTCGCAGCGGACCACTGCCCTTCTCGATTCCCTAAAATTCCCAACGAAAGAGTACCCGTTTCCAACGATCGGATCCATCCTTTCCCCCCCCCCCCCCTTATCGTTACGCGCGCTTACGTTGATCGATATTTTCTTCTCAACATTCGTCCAGCCGAATTTAACAAATTTCCCTCGTTGCCTTGCAATTTAATCGAGAGAGACGTTGATAGTTCCATCGGAAATTGTAAAAAGATGTGGTTAAACCGATTGATTGAGTTTGGTGTATATTTTAACAAATTTTATTACCGATAATCGAACGAATATATACACGATTTGTGTAGGAACGGGGATGATAATGTGATAGACCAATTGGTTTTTTTCGAAAATGGACACGGATTAAAACCGTACGGTTTCAACGATTTTCCAGATACGATTTTAATTCACAATTAGAAACATAATTGACGCTGGTAATTCGCTCGGCCGGGGATCGGAAATTGTAATTCCGGAAATATCGATGCGCTTGTTCCAGTAGCCGCGATCGGGATAAATTGGATTTCGACCTTTTTCCCCCGGATCCCGAGTAATCTAATTTCGCGCGATTCAAGGGGATCCCCTGGTTACAGAGGGGGACTTAATTTTTATATTTCGACGAGATTTCGATCAAACGCCGATTCGGTTACGCTTCAAAACTGCATCCGATTCTAAATCGTGTACGCAGAGGCGCGGCGTATCGATGCTCGAAATTTTTTTAAGGATCGATAGTTGGAAAATTTTTCAAAATTTTTATATATATATATATATATATATATGAAATTAATCGGTCGTTTATAAGAAAGAAACGACTGTCGGATCCGTTTAATAAACCGTTCGTTACACATCGTTTGAACGATTTATGGATCGGATCATCCCGCGTTTCGCGTATTGGCTGCAATTAATTGCTTTAAATATTTCGCGTTTCCATGTTTACGTAAGCAGATATAGGATGCGATAAGTCATCATGGAATTTCGAGGCCGGGTTTAATTGGCAAATTATTTTCCTCTCCCGACGAAATTAAAGGCAGCCCGTAATTAACGTACTACTCGTTTATTCAACGTGACATTTGTCGCGTTCGCCACGGTTGTTTGATTTAAATTTAACAAAAAAAAAAAAAGGAAAGGAAGGATTTATTTATCGCGGAATCGTTTATTACTACGGGGAGGGAATCGATCGAATTATCGATTCGAAAGCCGACACGCGTCAAAGTCGGTCGATAAATATTTGTCTTCGCTTGTTGTCAACTATCCGTTGACAAAGCAACTTCGGTAAACAAGGATCGATTCCAAGTATCGAGCATCATCGCGTTCTACGCAAATATCCAACTTTTCTGCGACTCTTCCCTCCCCTAATCGATCTCGAAAAACGTAATCTGGAAATCGTTTATATAAGGTGAAAATCTTTTTCTCTTTTTATCGCCTCTTGGACTCGATTGGCTCTCCTTCTTCCTCCTTCTTTTTTCCAAATATTGAAACGCATAGAACGACGACACGTTTCGATTTCAATTATCGGCGATTTTCGTTCGCGATGATGAAATTTTTCAAAATTTTTTACAGAGATACAATAATACATCGAAATGTGCACGTTGTTTGGATATCTTTGAATTTGTGCAAAAAAAAAAAAAATAAATAAATTGCTTAATGCGAAAAAGCGCATCGAAGGAGGCGACAATGAGGGAGCGAGTGTTGTCGGCTAATAGGATTTTATTTTACACGAAAATAGCATTTCCCCGGTGTCCGACGCTCGAACGCGGAAATGGCGGAAATATGTCGATGGAAAATCAGAATTTCGATTCGAGGATGCGGGCGATATATTTTAACAATACGATGCTCGTCGAATAAATCGAACGGTTTGTTTTAAACGATATTAGTTTTACGTACAAACATCGTTCCCACCGTTCGAGCGGAAGTAACGAACAATGTACAACGAAAATAAAACGATGATACATTTGCTTTATCGTTTTTCTCGATCGACTCTTCGTATCGAAGAATTCTCGCCGATTTATCGCCAATTTTGTCCAAACGCGAGGAGAATACAACTCTCGTCGTCGAGTTGTCCATTTGGTGGGAGAGAATTAAACGCGTCTTTGTTTCCTCGACAAAGGAGATATCGAGTTACACTCTCTCTCTTTCTCTCTCTCGCTATACGTCGAATACGACCTCATCGATATCCTCGATTGTAACGATTATACAACGCTTCGTTGCTTCGATTAAATTTTCATGACATTCCTCCTCTTCCGGTGGTTTCCGACTGTTAAAAAGGAAATGCGCGACACAAGGATCTTCGCCACTAAATAAAATCGGATCAAACGTCGGAGAGTAACTCGAAGAGGTTAGTCGACGAGCGAGAGGCAGAGCCGTGGAGATAAATGTTCGATTAAGTTAAAAAAAAGAAAATCGGCCATAGAATCGTTAATAAGGCATTCGTTAGAGCGAATGTTTCGATCCTGGTTCTTATCGAAACATTAATTTTTCAACGAGGAATTTTTCGATCGAGAAAAAAAAGAAGGAGAAAGAGAAATTGTTAGGAATCGTAGAACTTTTCTTCTATCGAGAGCACGTTGAGATTTTAATCAATTCCTATTTGGATGGATACTTTATCGAAGGAAGAGAGGCTTTTAAGTGATGTAAGCATTTTGGAAAGGATTCAGATACGATATCTTTTCACTGTTCGCTGCCACGTGTCAAACATGTGACACACTAGTTGCTTTCCAACGCCATCTATCGTACACGCGTAATCAAATGCGTTTCAACGAAGCTCGCGCATATTATTCATCGACTCGAACGAACACAAGGAAACCGAGGAAGAAGAAGATCTCCGATTTTTCTCTAAAAAAAATATTTTACATAAACTCGATTCACGCTCCACGAAAAAGAAAAAAGAAAAAGAAAGAAAGAAAATAAAAAGACGCCATTCAAATCGATCGACCAAGACGAATTCACCGATAAATTTTTCCATCGACGCGAGCGAAACCGATGGCCGAGCCGGTATTTCGAGTATTTAACGAAGCTCGGAAGCTTTTTCCACGCTCGTTCAGAAAGCGTTTAAAGCGTTCTCGACCCAGCGCCCCGGGAGCGTTAATGGGTTAAGAACGAGTCTTCTGGACCTCCACGTTTCCATTCCACGTTTCATATTCGACTTTCTCTAATGGCCTCTCGAAATGTATACGCGCGATTCGATTCGGTCGATCCACACGATCGATCGCTGCGTACACACAGGTACAGTTACCAGAGCGTGCACGGCCCCGAATTCAATCCCATTCGATGCGTGTCTTCACGGTTTCAATGCGCACTTGGACCCGTGCGCGCATCGGTATTATATCGATTCGTGGCCTCGTATGGATCCTGCTCGAGATCGTCTGCGGGATACACGTATCCGAATACGGAAACGTAGCCGCATGCCAATAATCCCCGGATCTGTTATCATCGGTGTAATTGGCATTCGGCCGGAAATTTTCATCAGATGAATGGCCATCGTTTCTTTTGACGCCGCCCGTGACCGACCAACTGTGCGCCATCGTTGCACACACACACTCCTCCTTTCCCCTTCCCTCTCCCCCACCATTTTCAAGGTTTCGCCTCTCGCCCCCTCGCTTCCTCCATCGATGGAAGGAGGAGTGATGAAAAGGGTATCTCTGACCGGACCGTGGATTTTTTTGTGACTAAAGATAAAAGTTAAATAGAGATTTTTCTTAGCCATCGATGAAACGATGAAGAGAGATATATAAATTTTTTTAAATTTATGCCTGGACAGTGGATTATTTTTGTGCGTGAGTGAAGATAAAGATTAAATAGAGATTTTTCTTAATCATCGACGGAACGATGAAGAGAGTATATAAATTTTTTTAAATTTGTGGTTGGACAGTGGATTATTTTTGTGCGTGACTGAAGATAAACACGTTAAATAAAGATTTTCTTCGATGGAAAGGGGAACACGATGAAAAGTAAATTTTTTGAAATTTGTGATTGAAGCTTGTGGATTTTTTTCATACTAAAAAAAGACAAAGGTTAAATATTCCTTGGGCATAAGTATAAAGAAGCAACGATTCGAAAAATATTTTAATAAAATTCAACACTGTTTCACTGCACAATTTATTTTCAAAGTTTCATTCGATAAAGATTGGTTCAATTCGCGTTACAAATTTTTACAACAACTTCGAGTTGAACATAACTGATTCAACCAATCATCCAAAAATATAAAAATTCTCGTTACTTCTCACCGTTTCTGTTCATATTCTCGAAGCTTGCCACCACGAAAAAGCGGCGAGAGAGAGGGAGGGGAGATGGATATTCTCTTTATTCAACGGGAGAAACGTCTTTGCGCGAAAGGGGCCGAAAGGCGTATCTGCCGATCCTTCCGCGTGGCAGTAATCAGTGATGCACGCGTTTTCTCATTTTCCATGCGAATGAAAGATGCATTAGGGGCCATTAACTCGGATGACGCTCTTTCGCCCGCCGACAGAAAAGTGTCGAGGCGGCGGCTCTCCTTCGAGATGAACTATCCTATTCACCCGCATTGTTCCCCTTCCACCGAAATAAATGATTTCCCGTTTCTTTCGCGCGGGACAGAGATAGAGATGATGATACGAAACTGGACATCCTGGAAAACGATGTAATCGAGAAATAAATGTGTCCGCGATGCGAAAGCGAGCGGAGGATACCTCGATCGAGAGCTAAGAGTTCGACAATTTTTTCGATTTTCGGTGAGTTTTTTTCTGGCGATTACCTTGAAATGTGATAATAAAATTTTTTTACGTTTTAATAATATCCTATGTAACGATCTGCACGTGGAGGGGAGCAATTTATTCATGAAGCGATTGATTCTAAAGAAATATCGAACATCGTAAATAAATATTGTCGCGTCGATCCAACCGGAGAATCACCTCACGAGTGCGAAGAGTTGACTCGTGAAAAAAGGAATATCCACATTTCCCTTGCAAATGTGCGTAAATACAGTTCTGTTTGCTTCGTTCCCTCGTGAAGAATGAACGAGTACCATCACTTATTATTAGAGGTTGGAAAAGGTGCAATGGACACGTGTGCACGACTTCCTTTCGATTGTACTACTCCTCTCCTCCATCCGATGGCTCTCAACCAAACAGATCAAGTATTTATTTAATCACATTTTCTTGATTATTCGATATAAATAAGTATTGATTAAAAGGGATCAAATATCCGTGAAATTTTTTCCTGTTTTTCATCTTTTAAAAAAGAGAAGTGTGCTTCATTCCGCAAAATTTACTCGATAATTCGAAGAGAGAGAGAGAGAGAGAGAGAGAGAGAGAGAGAGAGAGAGAGAGAGAAGAGAGAGAGAGAG